TGGTTCAAAGACATGCATATTGATCAATTAAAATAAAGTAAAGAAAGTACCCATTTTTGTTGAAAGTTCAAAATTTGCGCGCGTAAAATCGGGATTTAAAAATCTTGCAACTCTCCACCCCAAGCTTAAAGCTTTATCCAATATCCCGTGAGAAGCTTTTTACCTCGAAAACCCAACAAATCCAGTAATGGCTTGAAATTCCGGCGAAATTTTCCGGCGAGTTTTGGGAGATATTATTGGTGGGGTTTGTAGCCTTGTCCAAGAGGAGTTCAATGGTGGTGTCGGAATTTTGAGAAGTGGCCGGAGTTGGCCGGAAAAGACCCGGGAAGTGGCGATTTATAGGTGTTGGCGCCCCGAGCTACAGCAACAGATCGGACAAGTTTTTTAGTGGGGTTTGTAGAGCTCGGAATTTGGAGAAGAATGGCGGTGGTCTCGTGAAATTCCGACCGGCGACGACGCCAATTTGTTAGGTGTGTCAAACCAACAAAAATAAAGGGGTATAATAATATTAATATTAATAGAGTTCAAATCACTGCTATTTCATATACTAAAGATAGTATAGAGTAAGCAGGGTCGGTCCACAGGAACACGGGACTTCTTATCTTGCCAAATTCTCACACATAATACAAATGGTATTAAAGTGGGGGATTGTGTTTGATTTAGATTTAACTTCACAAATAAACAAAATTGATAATAAAATTCAGTAAAAAGAAATACATTTCCGATTCTGATTCTTATATATGTATTATGTTGAAAGATATAATTGAACTATGATCATGTACAATCTAGGTTGGTAATTTAGATACTAATAAGCTCTGGTATCCAAGTTGACAAAAGTGTTTTATTCAAAACAAGTTCTTCAAATAAAACTTCATTTAATTGGTTTAACTCAAATAAGTTCTTTCATTAACCCATTAAATGACTTTAAAATCTTGCGACAATCACCAAACAATGTTCAACTTTCCTCTTAAGCTTGGGAATATGAACATTTAATCTTTGATTACACTTATTTTGATTTATTTATAACCAATTAAGTGTGTATTACTAACATCAATTCATAAAACATATACGAATTTTATAATTTGATTAACTAAATTGACAAGAATCATAATTCATTGATCAAGTGAAAAAGAAAACAAATCAAACATATGATTAAAATCAAATCAAATATTACTAGATTTAAACACAAATCAAGTTCAAATTATAAACTAACAACACATACTAAGAATTCAGAATCGGAAATGATAATAGAAACTAGCCACATATAATTAAATGAAATTCAAATTAACTTACAAAGATGAAATCAAAAAGTTGCAAAGTGTTCTTCTTCTTTCAAGAACTCCCAAAGTGCAGAGAATATACTAGCTTCTATGATGTTTTCTTGGTGTATATGTTGTGTATATTCTTCTTCCAAGCCAATCCTTTTATATCTCCCAAAAGCAAAAGGTGATGTTATTTCTATTCATAAATAGGTGTCATGCCTCCAATAATCACCAAATGGAGCCTCAAATTCGGCTGTTAAAGTTGCCAAAAGATTCCCACAACTCATCCAATAATAGAGTCAACAAGTCAAAACCCGAATTCTGTCCAGCACAATTCACGCGGACCGCGTATGGTCTCACACGGACCGCGTGGGTCTAGCTGATAGTGTAGTTTGGGTCATTAAAAATGCAAACCAACCCAATCTTCTAGTTTATGCTCCAGCCCACTTGCACAACTCTTGGTAGCCCATTTATGTTATTCCAAAGCCTTCAACTGTTAAGCAAGTTCCCTCCATGCATCATTTCCATTAGCTTTCAAGCCCGAAAATTCTTGTTATCTTCCATGTCCAATCTCCTCTTAAAGATCCCGTTCTGCTAGTCTCCTTAAAATCTGCAATTAAGCTCACGAAACTAGAAAATACCCGAAATAGTCATAAAATAACAAAAAGGGAAAATATGCATGAGAATTAACTAAAATATGAATGAAATAAACTAAAATAAACTATAAAAAGAAGTAATAAAAATGAACAATCAATATGTTGTCCCCTCTGCGTGATCGGAAGATCCGACTTGGGATACAACATATGCTCATTTCTATCTCTCTATCCCTCTATCTATGTTAGTCATATGTTGTTCCCTCCGCGTGATTGGAAGAGATCCGACCAGGGCCACAACATATGCATTTCTATATCTATCTTCTCTCTTAAATAATTGAGCACTCACCTAAATTAAAGAATTCCTTGATTACTAGGGTATGTCGTGAAATGGGGAACATGTTCTAGTGCACCTAAAATTGAACTACTTAAATCGTTGTCTATAGATCTCGCTACTAAATTTAAGTGGACAATAATATCCTTGGTCGTCGTCAACCAAATGGTCTATTTAGGAATATCAGTTAGGAATGTAATCACAATGTCCGATTATTATAATATGTTCAACTTGTCAATATCCTTTGTGTTTAAGTGGACCACAATATTGGTGATTGATGAGCTAAACATGTAGGTGTGTGTTGTAAACGATATTGAATTGTTTGGCAACTTTGATCCCAAAAATTTCAAATTTAGTTTTTATTTTTTGTTTTTGTTAAATTTGTTCATAGTTTTCCTTTATGCACAAATTTAGGGGGAGAATTAAAAAAATCAAACAAAAATCATAAAATTTAAAAAATCCAAAAATATGTCTTATTTCTGTTTTTATTTCCTTTTGCAGAAAAATCAAAAATACAAAATATTGTTTTGAGCGTATTTTAATTTTATTTTTATTCTTAGTTGCTTTATTTGTGTGTTAAGTTTATTTTTATTTTGTTTTTATCTCAAAATTTTCATTTGTCTTGAAAAGTGAATTCAAAAGAAGAAGAGACTTAAGGAGACTGTATCGAAATTTTTTGATCAAGGAGAAGTAATGTGGAAAGGAATTGAAGGTCATTACACTTCACACTACTTCCACGAGAAACTGTAGATGTCATGGCACCAAGGTGATGCACCTCACAAGGCTCGATTATCGTTGAATGTCTCGCCAAGGGTCAAGTTAACTTGTTTAACTTGAAAAACTGCATTGAGGTCTATGATCTAGGATATGAAGGGGCTAACATCAAACCAGCCATGAGTACTTCTCCGATACTCAACAATTCGCAGTGCGTTCCTCTGTGTTCACACAGATACTGCAAGAAGTCTCCATCTGAGCCAAGGTTGGGTCCTTAAACAACTGTGGTGAGAAGGGTCTTTATGATTCTATGATCCACAGGGACTTGTTAGTCAATGGTTATTTTTCAAGGCGCAACGTTGATCATTAAAGTTATCATTTGAAGGAACTAGTAGTGAAGATTATTTTCCAACACATAATCTTTCAACCCCAGAAGCAAGGTGAAGTTGTACTTGAAGTTATGTGACAGATTGCATTGAAGCCTCCTCAATCAATTTGGTGCTATCAATGAACCTATTGAAGTGATCCATAAGAATTGGTCTCTCTGTTATTTTCTCTGAAGATTCTCAAAGATGAAAGTGTTGATTTTCAAGAATCCTTACAAGAAGCTTCCACACTCAATGTGCGTTCAAATCCAGATCTTAAACGAAGCCCAACTACTAAAGATGAAGTTATTCATGAAGATTCATATGTTCATCTTGAAGTTATGAAGAAATCGAAGATAAAAGTTGTAGCCAAGAACAAAGCAAAGATTAAATAATAGAAATCTACAATCCAAGGCGGAGATTGTTAGGATATAAGAAAAGAAAACTATAAACCAAGGAGGAGATTGTTAGGACATAATTTATGGTTTATACTTTGCTTTTCTAGGCCTTTACGGTTTTCGGTTTAGGGCTGAAATCCCCATGAGTTCCTTTGTAATTGGACCAAAATCACATGTGATTTCGGTTAGGCTTTTGGGTTTTGGGCTTGGGCTTTGTATTTAGGTCCAGGTATATATATAGTGTTCTTTGGCCGTGAAAAAGAGTGAGAAGTGAGGGTGGGACGTTTGGGGGGGGGGGGGCTAATATATGCTAGGAACGTGATTGAGAGAGAACAAGAGAGAACCAAGTGTGTAAACAACAATCTTATGTACCCGACTATTCAATATAGTGTGCATTGAAGATTAACTATTGTGTTCTTATTCCATCTTTCATCTTGTCTAATTTACTTGATTGAGATTCCGCACCATCAAGTGAATCCGATTGATACATCAAAGCGTTTTAGGGATTTAAATATCGTTATTGGGATGTTTTTAAAAAATTTAAATTTACTCTGATTTTCTAGATGTTACAATACATATAAATTAAAATGAAAAAATAAACATAATAATAATTAAAATAATCCCAATTAATATATATATATATATATATATATATATATTATATATATATATATATATTCATAATTTCCATTTTTATCCTTAAAATCATGTTGAATTGTTCTCCCGAAAGATGGCGGGTGTGTCGCATCAAAAATTTCATATATTTTGTGTCTTTTCGTCGTAAGTTCAGACAAGATCATGGGATAACTGGAACGGGAAAGAACTGCAACAAGATCTGAATGGTTTTCAGAAGCTCCGGCATTGGCATAGGGTTCCGGTCAGATTCAGGCAGGACCAAGGATAAGGCTATGATACATGTGAATAATCTAGAAATTTTTAAACGAAAGCTTGGTTATACATAAGCCTCAATTTATATACACATAACAACCTAAAACATGAAACAATAATAAAGCAACTAGAAAAGCATCTAAACCCTATGCTAGAAATATATATATATATATATATATATATATATATATATATATATATATATATATATATATATATATATATATATAACATTAATCATGAAATAAATCTAAGGCATATCTTTTTTACTCATGAAAAGGCTGATATGGAAGATAGCATGGGGGACTTTATCCAAAAAGTATGGCATATATTCAAGGTTTAGTCATAACAAATGAAACAAGTCCAATGAATAATTAGACGAAACCAAAATGTTGAAATGCTGAAAATGTTTCTGCTACATAATAATGTTGATCTATAATTTTGGATTAAAGATACAAATTGCAAGAATCAGCCAATATGTAGCTATGATTTATGATCAGGAAGTTTAATCTTACCGTTGAAGGTTCATCCAGTGACTCAACGTCTTCTGTTGAACAAGAGTTTAAAAGCAATTTGTAAGTAATAAATTAAATCATTCAAATACCAAATTTTACTTGTCTTTTTTCCAACAGAAACAGATAGTTGACTTGTCTTTTTTGCTCTAGAAACCGATAGTTGATTTGTTTCGCAATCAGTCTCCATGTCTAACAAATGAAGGCTTTCGACACACTGAACAATCTCAAATATGAAAGAAGCAGCATGGAAATTCACTAGTCTTGATTGCGCACCCATCTTCGTAAGATAAACTTGGACCTTCTCCCCCCTCTCCATCGAAGCGTTGATTAACAAATCTCCATTGGTGGTCGGTTGCAAAACTCGCATAATCGATCCTTTTTTGAATTGATTTTCTTTCGATTTAAAAATCACAGACCAAGAATCATCCCTCCTCACCCATATCCAACTATCATACTCATTATAATTCGTAGAAATCACAGCTAGAGAACCTTGGAGAGTTGTTAATCCTCTTGCTGTCCAAAAGGGTTCAGGCAATGGAATCATGCCAAAAACATGAGTGCTCAAATTGAATGTCAGTATACAAGGAAGGTCAGTATCATGTGATTCCGTATGATAACTATCTACCACCCAATGCAACGCTCCATTCACAAAACATGATTTCCCTGATAACACTTTAGAAATCAATGGGGTAGGGGAGGCAATCGCACACCAAGTGTCTATCTTTAATGCATAAAAAAATGAACTTTCTCTGGCGTATGATACCTGGACAATCTTGTAATCATCACTGATTGGGTCGAAACCAAACCCAAGCCCAAGCCCAAGCCCAAGCCCAAACCCTTCCGAAGGGCCTCCAGATCTCCGTGGACAATCAGGCAGGCTTTGTTTGCGCCTTATTGAAGGGTTCCATAGACTAATTCCCTTCTGATACTCATTCAAATAGAAAATTCCATCACATGAACCAACAATTTTGAAAACTCTGCTACATGGAAACTGGACTGCTGTTATACCATTGTATCCACCTGTGGGACAAAGTGGCAATTGGTCTTCTGAATGTAATGTATAAAAGTCATCTGACAATAATGTATGCAGTATTCAAGGCCATATACTTCGTAATAAAGTTGATGTTGGAAGAGGAGTTTTTGTGTGGATCGAGAAGTATGCATGCGGATGAAAGAGGGACTAGAAATACAAGAATACCATGATTTGGAGAGTGATCTAAACCGGAGGAGGGATTTGGGTGGCAGTCTTGTGAAGATTTCAATTATCAACTCTTGGCATAGATAATCTGACATTGTGTAATCCTGCATTTTTCCAAGGAGATGAAATTCAGTAGTAATAGGATGCAATCAAAACCATCAGAAAAAAGAGTGAAGTTTCACTAGTAGCGCACAAAAGATATATCAAATCAAAAAGGTGTTGAGGTGCAACTTGTTGTCCGTTTAACAACTACCTCTATGTAAACTTTTATTAATTGTTTTATAATAATGATTTACATATCAAATCATAAATTTTCCTAAATAACATCAAATTAAGTTACGTTATCATAACAATATAATTTACATCATCTAGGTGCAGTTAACATCCAAATTTAAAATTAACTCAAAAGTGAGGAAATTTAAAACTCGCAATTGTCATTACTTGGGAATGAAAGCCATGACAGTTAAATATCGGCAGTTATATATTTATTGATTTGCTTATTTATTATTTATTCCATTTTATTTTGTTTAACATCAGCATACTTTTTTTTGTAATATTTCGAGTGGAAAATGTTATGAAGGATTGCACTTTTAGTCGCCGGCCGTTGAGTTGGGTATTTGTGTATACAAATATTCAACAGAAAATCAAATTATCTAATATACTTTTAAAAATATATATTATTTGAATGTTAGTCATCATCGCTTTAATTAAAAGGCAACAAAATAAAATTTAAAGGGGAGTCGACAGTTAAAATCACTCACAGGAAGAAGAGGAACAGTAAACTGATGAAGACGAAGATCGCTATGGAATTCTGGTTGTAATACCTTTTTAGCACCCCAAAACCTTGACGATCGACTGAGTCGTTCTAGGGCTTAATTAGGTTGGATTTGTGCTCAGTGTTCCCCATATTTCTTCCATGCTTTCTTTTGTGAATAATCGTTATGAATTTGTTTTTTGTTTGTTTGCTGTTTCAAGGCATTTGGTTGTCATTCTATTTTTTTAGACAACTTATTTTTAATAAAAAACCTAAAAATTCTATCAATTTAAAAAAATAAAAATAGCAATAGCTAATTTAAAATAAAAACATGTAATACATAATAATAAAAAAATCTAATTACATAATTAAAAAAAGCACACTTACTCAAAAGAAAGATAAAAATTACAAATTACATTTTTTTTATGCTTTCACCGCCAAAGCCTTGGGGCGTCCATCTTCGGGCAAATGACTCACATCTTGAATTAGAGTTTTCATATCTCGGGATTTTACTTTGTTCAATTCTTGTTCCTTGGCAAATGCCAAATAATATGTGAGATTTTTATTTATCCATGCCATTTCCGCCATCAAATCTTGTACATTGTCATAACTGACCCGACACTTTTACTTTTTTTTTTTTTGCTTTGTCTCTTCTCATTGGATGGGGAGGTGGTGTAATCTCAACCGAGTCCTCACCGATGTTGAGTTCAAACCTGATATGACCATCCGACGATGTGTGAGAGGTATCAGATGTTTTGGTTCATTTGGAACCATACGTAAAGCATTATGATCTCCGGACTTAATGCCACTTTTTGCATTCTTTGAAAATGTTGCAACTCACGGAAAATTGAAACATTTTGCATGTTCACGACGGTAAATTTGAAGTGACTTGCCCAAAATGGTTGCATCATTATCACTTCAAGTTATTAAACAAAGTATTAAATTCCATAATAACTTTGTTCATATTTCTCCATTTTGTGTAGAGTTGATCTTTTGTCCGATATTATTGTTTTTTCATTTCAACAAAGAAGCATTTTGTTACTTTTCCTCAAAAAGGTTACTATTATTGGTTGTTGCCGATCGTCGAGTCCTCGGACACAATGACCCAAGGGCCAAGGCTAAAGCCTTCTCTTCCGTTGAGGTCCAGGAAATGACCGGGCCTTCCCTTTTTGGGCTTAGGTTGTAACAACCATGTTCCTGGATTTAAGTATAAAATTTTTGCAAAAACGGTCCTTCTGCGGAGCATACCTTATATGGATAAATACTTTTCACATCAATATCATATAAGTATTCTCTATTTTCTTACTTCTACGTCTCTCATTCAACAATACATGAAAACTCATATTTCTCATTTGTTCCAACCCATTCAAAATACGTTTATTGTAAATTATATACAAATTAATTAAAAACATACAAAACTCATTCACAAAATATAGAAAACATACAAAACTCATTAACAAAATAATTAAAAACATACAAACATATTTTGATACAACTTTTTATGCATGAAATACAACTAACCAAAACATAGAGAGAGTCTAGAGAGACAGACAATCAACAGGTAAACTAACCCGCTTTGTATATCTTCTGCGGTGCCTTACCTTGCATGGGGTTGTTTCAGCGGTGATATCCGTAGTACCCCCCCCCCCCCCCCTTACCAGCTCATCTTTTGGACGGCTTTGTCCACCCTTATCAATGCTTAAATAGCTTATTGTTTTGTAAATGATTTATATATATATATAATATAATATATATATATATATATATATATATATATATATATATATATATATATATATATATATTTAAAGTTTTTACATATAACATATATTAAATAAACATTTATTTATTATTTGGTATTGTTTGAAATAGCATGGTAAATTGTCATTTATTTAATGCAAGCAGTTTACACTCCTTGTTCTAGATAGACACATTCAGTCTCTTTATTAACACATAACTTAACGAGTATATAGAAAAAAAAAAGGGAATAAGCCCTTAAACATTTAACAAAAGGACTTATGCTATTTCAAATAAGAAAGTTTTTATATAATGTCGTCCAACTATTCATTTTGTTTTCATTTTTCTATTTTTTAATAATATTTTATTTTAACCATTTAATTGTGATTAAATTATAAATCCTTGTGCTTTTTTACTAATTAATCTATTTTGTTAAAATATAAAACCAAAATGGATTTATTTTTCCAAAAAAAAAATATACATTTAAAAAAATACTATAAAAACAATTAAAATGAACAAATATCACATGATAGAAAACATAGCAATCATACATAATTTAGAAGACCGAGATTTTGCTAGGTAGGGAACACGAGAAACAAATGAAACAAGTCGCATGAATCATTAGGATGAATACGAGTTTATGCATAAGGCTAACCTTTTTTTGAATGGCTAATCTAATCTACTCTTAATTCCACCTTATGTCCCAGTCCAGAGTTGAACAAGTGATATCGTTGGATTATAAGCCTTTTGGTTACCTGCATCACTCAACATCTCATGTCCAAACAAAGATTAAAAGAATTCAAGTCCATCTAATACCAAATTTTGCTTCTCTTTTACCTCACAAGCAGTCCCTATGTCTAACAATTGTAGACTCTCAACACACACAACAATGTCATCTATGCAAGAAACAACACTGAAATCCACTAGTCTTGATCGCGTCCCTATCTTGGGCTTACAAACATGGAACCCCTCAAAAAAAGTGTTGAACAACAAATCACCATTGTTGGTCAGTTGCAAAACTCTATATATTCTTCCTTGAACTTGATTTGTTTTCAATTTAAAGACCAAAGACCACGAAGCATCTCTCCTCATCCAAATCCAACTTTCATCATCATCCTCACTGTGGAAAATGTTGCCTCCAAAATTAGCAAGTGGCAAATAGTTCAGGGGTTATTTCTGTAACTTATCATTTACTATTCATAGTTTGACTATGAATAGTAATATAAGTATGAAATGTTTGAAATTCAGAATGGACGGTAATATGGATTGGCAACTTTTTTGGTAAATATTAGGCGCATGCTTTTTGGGTCAACAATGGAGGCGCAGTATAAACAAGTCAAATTAGAAGGCGCAGCAATTTTTGGACGAAAAACTCTTTTTTCTTTTCCTTTCATATTACATTCCCTTTGGCTATAAATAGCCTAAGCCATTTTCATCATAAACACACGAACCGAAATCAAAGTATATATAGAAAAGCATTAAATATATATACTTATACACCACCGTGTATTTTAGCTCTCCCACTCTATTTGTAATCTCTTTCATAATCCCTGTAAACACTGCAAATTATAGTGAATTGTTTCTCGGCTTCCTCCGCCCGTGGTTTTTTTCCCGATTTGGGTTTCCACGTAAATTCTTGTGTCTCTATTCTATTTATTTTATTCGTATTACGTTGTGATTATTACGTTTTGATAATTTTTGATCCCATTCCGCATTGAGCTAATATTATTTAAGTCAATTCGTATCCGTCGTATTTTACAACAATTGGTATCAGAGCATCCGGGTTGTGATATTAGCTCGTTGGGATCATTTTATCAAGTAATTAATCATGACTTCGGTAAAATACGATATTCCACTACTGGATCGTAACACCCGATTTCCGTTGTGGCAAGTAAAGATGAGAGACATTCTCATTCAGATGGATTTACACAAGGCGCTCTTGGGTTTCAATAAGATGCCCGATACATGGACCGAAGAAGAAAAGGAGATGAAAGATCTGAAGGCTTTATCCCAGATTCGTTTGCACTTGTCAAACGATGTTTTGCAAGATGTTCTAAAAGAAACGTCAGCGGCTTCTTTATGGCTAAAGTTGGAGCAACTGTTGATGACCAAGAGCTTACCAAACAAGTTGCATTTGAAGCAACGATTGTTCAATCTCAAGATGATTGAAGGAGGCTCTTTAACTGAACATATATCCACATTTAAAGAGTTAGTAAATAACTTAGAGAATATGGATGTTCAGTATGAAGATGAAGACTTGGCTCTATTCTTACTATCGTCGTTGCCAGAATCCTATAGCCATTTTTGTGATACTATTATCTATAGCCGTGACACTCTAGTTTTAGATTAAGTCTATACAGCTTTGGATTCAAAAGAGAAGATGAAGCATATTACTGGTTGTGGTTCAAGTGATGCTAAAGCCGAAGGTTTGAATGCCAGAGGAAGAACAACAGAGAGAAGTAGAACTTCTCAATCTTCCAACAGAACCAGATCCAAGTCAAAAGGCAAACGAAAGTTTTGCAACTATTGTCACAAGAAGGGACATGTGCTTGAAGAATGCTTCAAGTTGAAGAACAAAGAAAAAGAGAAGACGGCAGCAAATGGTAAACAAGCTAGCAC